TACCTAGATCGATGCAGTTTTTTGTGCTGATCAAGAATATATATGGTTTATAGGGGCGGAAATAAGTCCTTCGATATGTTTTGAGCTTCTGACTTAAACTAAGAAACCCTACAATGTTCAAAAAAAATGAATTTTTGTATATATTTCTCACAATTCCTTTATATAGATTCTTTTCATATTTATACAATTTGGAATTCTAAATTTTCTTTCTCAGTTCAGGGGCTTTCCTTAGCTGCGGATGCATCAGACTTTATGGGCTAAATGAATGAATTGAAATGGGTGTGTGCGGATGTGTGTTTGGACGAGTGAGTGTGTGGTGTGGCTTGTATCGACTTGTGGCACACTTGTCTGGATTTTCCACCCACTTCTCTGTGCGGTACAATGCAAATAAAAGTTCATTACAAGCTCAGGCCAAGGCGCTTACAAATAGCAAAAAAAAAAAAAAAGAATGAAAAAATTAAACCTTTTTTTATATATATTCTCCAGTCTGTCCCACTTTGTGTTCGGCATTCTTCTGCCCCTTTTATGGTCAACGGCCCCTTTTGTGGCGCTTAGGATTTGTGGGTGGCAGGAATGGGGGAGAGGAGCAAAAGTCTTCTGGCCGGAAATGCCACATCCGTGCACAAGTCCATAAAGTCAATAAGGAGGAAAAGAAAAAGCGGTTAAGGCAAAAGGAAATTTTTGAAAAGCCAAAGGGGAAATAAATTAACAATAAGCAATGATTTTCGCAACTTCTGTTTCCTCGCATTTATGATATGGATGTCCGGTTGCGAGTCAACCTCTTCTTCGATCGTAAAAATCTTCTTTTTTAATTTATATAGTGGCTTTTATGAGCGACAACTACTGGGTCGAATGATGATACGTGATGCATGAATTTACGACTTCTTTGGTGTTAGATGCTTTATTAAACATAAAGCCAGCTATGGCCATAAAATCTACGGGGAACAACTCGCAAGTCACAACTCGTCTCAGATTAATTGAAAATGTCACCGATCCGAGGCAATTATCGTAAATTATACACACGCTCCCGTATCCAAATATTATTATTATTTTTATTACGTGCGTAGGCAAAACAGAAATCAAGAAACTCCAGTACCAACCCCCAAAAAATTCAGAGGGTGAATTGTGCATAATGAAATGTCAACAAATGTGGCAGGGATTTTGAACTGAAGTTTGAACTGAAGTTGGTACTGAAGTCTGAATGAAGGCCAGGACTTTCTGGGCTTTTGTTTTTCAAGCGGTGGTTGCTCGACTTTCCCTCCGGAGATCCTTTGAAGTTGACTTGCGGAAATTGAAAACTTAATTGGCAGAGCTGTCATATATGTGGGGTGTGTGTTATGATTCCAATAAAAAACAAGAAGGGAAGCTAAATTTGGCAAGCCGAAGTTTATATGCCCTTGCAGATTAAAATATATTTATATATATTATATATTTATTCTATATATTTACAGTTTTACATTTAAAGTTTTGCATTTTTCTCTATTTTAAACAATTGTTTGTATGACAGCTATATGATATAGTAGTCCGATTTTCATAAAATTTTACACAAAATTTTACGATAATATATAAATGCTATATATAAAATTTAGTGCAAATCTGTTAAAAACTGGAATAGTTATAATATTTTTTTTAATTTTCTGATCCTTCCTATATCATATATATATATATATATATATAGTCCACCGATTCGCCATGCTCCGACTTATATACTAGTAAAATTACATTTAAGAAAAACTCCATAGTTTCATTAAAATAGCTTAAATTTATTCAAAAACAACTCTCGCACATCTGTGCTTATGATTCCCAACTAGTTCTAACATCCCCGGAACGAAGTGGCTGCTGCCGGCCAGGTCTCGGATATGTGTTGTGTTACAAAAGTCGCAAGTCATTGTTTATTAGTGTTCAAAGTTAGTAACTGATCATACATACTTACTGCTCATAGATACTTTGTGATCATAGTTACTTAATGTTCATAGATACTTAGTGATCATAGCTACTTACTGGTCATAGATAATTACTCTTCAGAGTTACTTACTGCTCATAGATACTTACTTTTCCGAGTTACTTATATACTCATAGTTACTTAGTGATCAAAGTGACTTAATGCTCATTGATACTCACTGCTCTTATTTACTTGATGTTCATTGATCCTTACTGATCATAGTTACTTTCTGATCATAGTTACTTTCTGATCATAGTTAATTACTATAAATCGTTCGATTGTTCCTATGGCATTTTTAAAGTATAGACTTCAAACCTCAGTAAATTTCAATCAACGTTAGAATATTTTATATAAAATTTAAATCACAAATCCCCTTCCTTATTTATCTAAATTTCACTAAAATTATCTTCTACTATTTGAAAAATTTACATAGCTCCTTCAGAAATCCCCAAGGCTGACTCATGAGCAGACATAACAAATAAATCCCCACAGAAAAAATCACAGCCAGCCAAATCCCGTAAATCGCAAAATTTTCTATGCATTTTCTCCATTTGCAGACTCAGATGTAAAGAAAAAGGAAGAAAAAACAGCGAATATATATATGTATATACATATATAAAGAGCAAGCATAAAAAATGCAACAGACCATAATAATTTTAGCGTTTATTTTTTTGAACATTTTCCGCTTTTGTCGCAATCTTTTACATCCTGGCAGCACCACCAGCATCCCCCTTCCTTGCCTTGCTCCACCGATTGCCGTCAGGGTCTGACTATGCAAAAATGCAGCAGCCAAAAAGCATATAAAATTATTATGTGACGAGGAACGTGGGGCATGAAAATCCGGGGGAGGAGGGGGTGACACAAAAGCTCAAAGGCATTTCGGACTTTTGGCCAAAAATCAGACTCAGCATGTGCACATAAAGCTCAAATAAACTCAAGTTGTTGACAAAAGGGGTTAGAGGCCATAATTGTGGCCGTCTGTGCATGGGGAGGTGGGTTAATATTAACCCTTCTCCAAGGGGTGTCTCACGAACGTGCCAGGCGGAAAGTGGAATTTTCATTGAATGTGTAAACACAACCAGCGGGAGAAAATGAGCAAGATGAGCAAGTCGACAGAGCGATTTTCCAACAGTGCAGCCATTAAAATGATTTTCATTCGTGGAAGCTACGTTCTTTTATGGCCATGTTGTACCAGAGCTTTGTTTATATTATTTCATTATCAAAAGACAGAGAAATTTAGAGAATTTTAAGAAGCACTTTCAAGTTATCATTTGGTTTTAAAGAAGCTTATCAGTTTTCTACTTAAATGCCTTTTTAGATACCCCCGAAATGTAGCTTTAAGATGATAATAAGGCTTCTTTTGGCACCTTAAATAATATATTTTAAATCGTTAAAAATCTATGTTGACTAAATTAAGTAAGTCCCAAATAATAAATATATACTTATCGCAAGCTGAAAACTTCTTCCACAGACCCTTTACTTTCCTTTATTCATTCATATTTTTCCATTATCGCAACGCTTCGTCCTTTGTGCTCCTTAGCAGGGCCAATAAAATGTATTATCAAACTTTTTGCAAAAGTTCTTTGAGAAAAGCCACTCCATAAAATCAAATTTATGTATTACCTGCATTGCTGCCTTACCATTTTTACCAGGACCTCCGCTTCCGTTTCCCTCATTTCCTGTATCGTTTTTAGCTCCCACAATCTCTGGTCGCACTTTAAATAAGCATTAAATTGATACAGGAGAAAGTTTTCCCTTTCTCTTCTGTTGGGTTTTTAGCTCTCTTTCTCTCTCTCCTTGTGGGCCAGGACACACTCCAGACGCATTCTAATCGCTTTATAACTTCTAACGCAGTTTATCAGTGCTACCACCGCAGCTCACACCCCTCATCCCTTAATTCTGCTCTCTCTCCTGGTGCCATTAGAAAGGCTCAGAGTGGCAAAAGTTATTGTCACGCACTAAAGTCACTCTTATGTGGAGTTGTGTGGATACACAGAGAAAAAAAACAAGAATATTTGTAGAATTTTTTTTAAATATAAAAATAGCAAAGTTTTTCCTTGATTAAATACTTTTTAAGAAGCCATATATGAGTTTATACTTATATGTGGCTTCAAAGTTAATAAAGTATTAGTGTTATTAAATTAAATGTTAATCAATCATTGACTATAGTGTGCCCAATCATATAGAAAAGTGTGTTGCAAATTTGGTATTTTTCTAATCAATCAAAATACTGTAATCATTATGATACACTGACGTATAATTTTGATAACAAAAATCAAGTACATCTTGTGACGAAATCAATTTTAGGCTTGTCAGCAGTAAATATATCAAAACATAGCTGACGAGGTTTATCTGTAAAATAAAATATAATACAACAGAAATTATAGTATCTTCATCAATTTGATAAGTTAAAACACTCTGGAACCTTGGTGATTTTTCCCTCTGTCTGAATTTTTTTATAGATATGTGGAAAAAGGGGAGTTACCACAAGCCAATCTCCAAGGAAAGCTCCCTCTGGTTGTACCCTTCTCAGTGGCAGTTTCTTTGGGATTTTCTTGGGTTGTCTCCAGAGTGTTCTCTTGGGTTTTCCACCGCTTTTCTTTCCCCTTACTTTATTTTCTTCCTTTTTTTTTTGGAGCTCCGTCTGGCAAACAAGGCGGAAATTATTGCCGGCGGCGTCTTGCAGTTTTTTCTCTCTCATTTTCAGACATCTTCTGCATCACCAATGTATATATAGATATATTCTTTTGCAATGTCAAATTGTTATTGTGTCTGAAAGAAATGCTTTTATTTTGCTTATTTTCGCTTTTATTCTGATTGCACTTATTATGAGTGAATCGACAGAGAAGAGTACACCCTGTGAGTAATTCATTGTGCTTAGATTACACACAAATAGTACAATCTTTATAGCCATCGAATTGAAGTGAATCCCAGTGAGTCATCAGAAAACGGGGTGTGTTTTCTGCCGATAAGATAAAACTGTGCAAAACAATCTTATCTAAAGTGTTGAACTATATAAATTGGTCATTCTTGTGGATTGGAAAACAGTACGCATTGGAAAAGCAACGAGACTAGATCTCTAAAGGAATATATAACAGTTCGAAAAAGGATATTAAAAAAGGATACTTAAAATGTCGCCGCCACATCACGAACGAGGTCTCTTCGGCATCCATTTGGGATTGAGCCTAGGTGGCCATGGACACCACCACCATCACCACCACCCGCCGCCACCGCCGCCCCACTACGATCACCACCATCATCACCATGGACCTCCGCACCACCATGGACCTCCGCCGCACCACCACCACCATCACCATGGACCGCCGCCACCACACCACTATGTGGAGCACCACCATCACCACAATGGCAGCCACTTTGACCATCATCATGGGCCGCCACATCATCATCATCATCACCACTGCTGATGATCCTGGAAAAGGAAATTATAAAGGAATGTGACAATATTAATAAACGAATTTAATTTATTACATCAGAGCAGAAATGATAAAAAAAAAACACAACAAGAAAATTATAAAAATAAAAATATATATATATTATATATAACGCAAAAAGTTAGATTTTCATTAAGAACTTTTTTTGGTAAAGGAATTCCTAGAGATTAAACTATAAAAAAGCGAAAGAACAGAATTTTAGGTTACTTGTTCTCTTTGAGGAAAAAACCTATTTACGTTCAATGTTCCTTTATCCTATTTTAATCTATATTTCTATCTATATATCGTATATGGTCTTAAGAATGTCAATAATATTAATATTAATTACCATTTTGGCAGAACTAGATAGCCATAAGATATAGAAAAAGATATCGTAAGGCCAGGTATATTTATATAACTTTTTCTTCAACTATCTTTTGAAAAATCATATATTATATATATAATAAGTATGACTCTACTCAATTATGTTTCAGTTAGTCACTTATCTTATCTTGATTGATAGGAAAAAACAGAGGAAAAACCAGCAAAAAAAAACAGCTTTAAAAAGAGTAACAAAGAAATCAGACAAACGTAATCTTGTCATTCGACATTCTTAACCCAAAAGTTGATTGGTTTGAAGACCATTTCTAATGTATTTATAATTAAGAAATTTTAAACCAATAAGAAGATTATTTCGAAAACCACAAAAGAGACACGGAAGCAGAGTCAGACCACCCACAGAAACAATTTGCTAAGCCGATAAACACAAATGAAATTAAATATATAATTTCAGTTTCTAATTCGATTCGATTTGCTACGCTTCGGGTTGGACAAATGAAATGTTTGCCAATTACAAAACCATTTCAAAGTGTTTTTTACCTTTTTTTCTGCGGCTGTCACAAAAACACTAATTAGACAGCAGAGTTACCATACAAATATCGAGTATGCCCCTATATAATATATACAATATACTCGTATTTCTTTGTGGGTTACTATTGCGCCCTGTCATAAAATGTAAAATGCTGCCCCCGGCGTGGGTCGTATGGGTATCGACACCTGGAAAATATTGGTAATTAAAATTTGCCAGTTGTCGGCCACAAACCCGAAGAAAAAAAATAATACTAGAAAAAACTTGCTTCCATTTTGGCCTGTCTAATAATGTTGTAAAACATGTTGCCATTAAGTTAAGCGACAGACGCCAAAACGCCCCAAAGGCTGGAGTTAAAAAGCTGAAAAATATGGTTAGAGGCTTTACCCTTTACCTCTATTCCCATAAATCTTGACAAACTGGAAAAAAATTAATTGAAATTGTAAATTTAAATAGATTTTCGTTACTTAATTTGCTTTAAATAAGTGTTTGGAACTCATATTATTTAATTTGCGGCTATTTAATGACATCTAAAACAACGATTGATCCATGCTATTATATTTAAAGAGTACAAATAATATGACTTATATTATGACTTTTTTAGATTCATTAATTAACAGCATTCCAATTTTTTATTTGCCTTATGCCAATGCCTAATTAAGCCACAATTTTTTATTGATTTAAGTAAATTATTGTCTAAAAGAGTCGAACTTTTGTTTCCCTAAAACCTTAATGCTTTGCTAACCAAATCTTAGCTCTCCACCTGCACCTCATATACCTCATTCCCATATTTCCAGGGTATTTTCCTATCGATATTCCGCTGACAAGTCGCTCTAATGGAATTGGTAGCAACGAGTGACACTCCGAGCACTCTCTTCGGGTTTTTTCCTCAATCTCAAACTGTCAATTAAATATGAAAATTTATTTTTGGGCCTGCTGGCCTGCCTATCAACGATTTTTTGACAATTTCATGGGACAGGTCGACAGGCCTGGGAGTGCAATAGTGCCCCGCCCCGCCCCCCATTAAGATGACAATTAACGTCTCAATTCATAAATGTCGCAGCGGTGAAAAAACCATTTCTCAAAACCCAGTTGCCTGCTTTTAATTAAAAAACTTCAAATTATGCCCGTGGCCAGGTCTGATCCATGTTTTTCAGCCACAAATGGTGCTGCCTGCGTGGCAACTTCGACTCTGCGTATATCTTAATTGTTATTTGTATTTAATTATATGGCAAAGTCAGGCCCAAGTTTGCCACGAAAGTTGAAAATGCTGGAAAAACAACAGCCAGCAGGGAGTTGAGTCAAAGTTGCTTTTTCGTAATTAAATTGTTTGCTTTTCATAGTTGGCCGAAGTGTTGACTTTTTACCTTCCAAAAGAAGCAGGTGAAAATAACGCGAGAAGACAAAAGATGCATCCATCAGATACTATCTTGGGTTATGCAACAGGTTGAAGAAAACTGAGGGACAAAAGCAAGCCAGATTTTTGTTGTGACAAGCTTAAGGATCTTTAATTAAATAATCCCATACTTAAGACTCCGATAGACTTATCCAATACTCTAAAAATTAAACTTAATTGGTATGCATTACCAGCACACTTTATGCACATGTTAATTAGGCTAAATCGACAAACATTTCCCTTGCCAATCGACAAACTAATAACCCCAACTTTATTCTCCTTTCAGGTATGTACTTAAACCAACTCAACAACACCATAAACCCAAGTTATGAGTAGTGTAAGTAATGAAATGTTCATATACAGATCGTCAATTCGACATGATTGCCCATTAATGAGTTTACCCAACTAAAGTACAGTTAATAACATAGAGACAGATAGACCGCAATCAAATCGGGGAGAAGAAACCCATTACCTTACTCACTCGGCTCCATAATGTGTAATCATGAGTCCCATTCACAATAACAATCAAAGAGCCAATTTCTTGAATTCAGTTCGCAGGAATAATACCTTGAATAATTTAATAAAACCCATGAAAAATCAAAAATACGATAAGTACGACATACACACATCCACCCACCACAGCAGGCAATAAAAATTCCACGAAAAATTCTCATTAAATAAACATACTCTCATAGACAAAAGGCCACGGCCAAATCGAGTACGCATTCCGAAAAAACTACTACCAAACTAAGGTTCGCGCGTAATGTCGCTTGTTAGTACTAATGATGGGCTGGACCGGACCCCGGTCTGTATAATCCTCTTCACCCCATGGAAAAACGCAAAAAATAAAAGAAAATAAAGTTGTACATCTGCGATAGAAGCCGCGATATGGAAGCCATGGCCAAGAGAACTTGGGAAGGCCGTGGCCAAGAGTCGTTGCCCATTTTGCCTGCTTGTCATAAATTGCCATAGAGCGCCAACAACAAGTTTCCTTTGACTTGGAGCGTTCTACGAGGAGTTTTCCTAGGGATGGTAGCGTGAATTCTAGTTTAAATAATGCTTAAAATTAAAAATGAAAATTTAAATTGAAAAATATACCAGAAAGGAAACTATCATAGGAGTACCGATCGTTATATATTATAGGATCGAATCGGAAATCGATCATAAGTAAGCTTCAAATATTCGCATTTTCGAAATCGTCAAATCAAATTTTTTAAAACTCAGCGAAAAATGCTTTAAATTCAATTCTGTTCTGTGCTATTTTTTATGAGTTTAACAAATCTTAGTTTAACATGTAAAAATTTTCAATTTTTTGCCAATTTTAATGATGTAACCCCTTATCATTCTTTTAATTGTTGGCCAAATTAAAAAAAAAAAATTTTTCGTCCGGCGTAATCTAGATCGACGCAGTTTTTTGTGCTGATCAAGAATATATATGGTTTATAGGATCGGAAATGACTCCTTCGATGTGTTTTAAGCTTCAGACTGAGATGAGAATACCCTGTTTTGGGCGTAAGAAAATAAATGGAAATACAAATTACGATACATAAATATTAAAAGAAATATGTAAATATGTCTTATTCACATTACTTAAGTAACTAAAAAGGCTTAAAGTAATCATTAAATGTCCATTACTCCGTTAACAATAAATCGGTGCTTTTTTACTGGCTGCTAATCTACTCTTTGAAGTTAAGTCAAGTCCAGAAGTTTTAATTAAATTGATTGTTTTAATTATATTTAACTATAAATAAAATATAAGTAAACAGCATAGGAAACTAATTCATTTTATAAGACTTATACTACAGGGCCCACCACAGTTAACACCCCCATAAAACCTCAATACTCTGGAGGAGTAGAAACCTCAATTTCCGGATCGTGACTGCCTTAGTATAGCCCCATCCCTAGTGTCCCCTGAAGACCCCCAAGTCTGACCAAAAAAAGAAGCCCAAGACCGACGACCGCAGTCCATTGGATCCCGACCGTCGCGTCCAGGCTGTAAAAATTAATAGCCAACATAATAAGCGGCATTTTATGACAAGCGTGCACCTTGGCACACACACACAGGCACACACGCACACTCGGGATGCCACGCCCCCAAAACCAAGCGCCCCTCAATATATATATACTACTTTTTTTTGGAGTCCGAAGGTTTGGCTTTTGGTCAAACATATTTCTCATAGGCAAAAAGTCATTAGGTGAGGGATCAGTTGGCCACGCTTCTTCATTGCAGTCACTTTGAAAATTACGCAAATTGAAAGTTACATCGTTACCAAGCAGAGGGGAGGGGGGCGAAAAACTGGTGGAAATTAAGGAGGGAAAACTCCCCCTTGTCTGACAAGTTATGAGCCTCATATTGGTGCTACAAGATTTCGCTTTATGATAATTACACGCAGCGTTTCGGATTTGTGATTTTTATATATGGATTTTGTCTTGGAAAATTGAAAAACTTTTTCGCCAGCGCCAGCCTATTAGATAGATCGTTGATTATGCAAGTTAAGCCGGAAAAGTTTTTATTTATGTATAAAAAAAAGCAAGCTAATGGATTTTGTGACTCTTAATTGGAGGATAGGAATTTAGCAGATGATTGACTGCGGGTTAAGCTTCTATTTTGTCGGGTTGTTAAGAAATTCAAGTACTTAAAAAGCCACTTGGATTTTAGTTTCTTTAATTACTCTGTTCCATAAACGGAACCTGACTTGGAATCCAGATAATATTGTTAGTTTTTAAACCCTAAAACGACCCACTCAGTTTTTGAATAATAAAAGTTTATAAAACAGTCAGAAAGTCGGACTTTTTATGCTTGAAAGCAAACAAAACAAAA